CTACTACTACTACTACTACTACTACTACTACTACTACTACGACTACTACTACTACTACTACTACTACTACTACTACTACTAGTATGACTACTACTACTACTACTACTATTACTACTACTACTACTACTACTACTACTATTACTACTACTACTACTACTACTACTACTACTACTACTACTACTACTACCACTACCACTAGTACTACTACTACTACTACTATTACTACTACTGCTGCTGCTGCTACTACTACTACTACTACTACTACCACTACTACTTCTACCACTACTACATTCAGCAAAAGACGTGCAATATCCCAACCGCAATAACTCAGGTGTAAATCTGCTCCTGCAAGGTGTCCACCGCAAATTCAGATAGCAATGAACAAGTATGGTAATTTTCCAATGTGGTTTCTTTATTCGCTTCCTCCTCGGTTGGGATCTGACCGTGCCTGGTGTTTCAGACGGTTGGGATCTGAACCGTCCGGTTGGGATCTCACGCGTCCGGTTGGGATCTGAACCCATCGCTCCCCCTCCCCCCTCCCCTCCCCTGCCTATCTCCCTCCCCTCCCCCCTCCCCTCCCCCCTCCCTCCCCTCCCTCTTCCTAGTGCGGGCCCTCCCCCCTTGCTGCCGTGCCCGCCGCACCCCCGCCCCCTGGGTTATGCCCGCCAGCAGGGCGTGTCCGGGGAGCGGCTCTGCACCGTCAGCGCGCAGGGCGGCTGGGGCGCGCGGGGCTCAGTGCCCGAGGTCGCGGCGGAGCGGGCGGGGGCTTCAGCGCTCGAGGTCGCGGAGGGAGGGGGGAGGGCGACGGCGAGGAGAGGGAGGAGGGGGGGGGGAGCGGGGGGGGAGGGGGAGGGGGAGGGGAACAGCGAGGAGAGGGAGGGAGGGGGGGAATGGATGGAGAGACCGAGGACGCGGGGGCAAGGGGATGAGGGAGAAGGCGGAGGTGTCGGACGCAGGGGCGGCCAGCGCAGCGGCGGCAAGCGGAGCCTGGCGCGAGAGGGGGAAAGTGCCAGCGCAGGCTCCGAGCACGGCTCCGCAACACGTCCACCAGTGAGGCTATTTTTGTAGGCCGCTTCGCGCCTGCACCGCCCTTGCAGTTACGATCCCCCTCCTCCTCATCTTCCTTATCCCCCTCCTCCTCCTCCTCCTCCTCCTCCTCCTTCTCCTCCTCCTCCTCCTCTTCCCTCCCTCCCTCTGCCTGGCTGCCCGCTTAAATCTGACGGTACAAGCGTTGTGGTCACACTCCGGTCCGTATGAAAAAAGGGCGTAGCGACTTGATCCGCGGCCAACGAATACCCACGCGGACGGGATTCATACCCACCTCAACGTACATCGGAACAGGCATTGGATCCGCGCATCCTGAAAACGTTCCGCTTCAATTCCGTTCATCCGTTCCAGGCCCGCGAGGACAACACATCTTGCCTTGGAGATGTGGGAGCGCTGCTGTCCTGCCTCGTCCTCATCCGCCCTCTCCTCCCTCCCTCCCTCCTTCTATCACTCTTTCTGTTCTCCTCCTGCTCCCCCTGGAACCTCCTCCTCCCCTCGCCCTGATCGTCCAGCACCACTGCTGCTCGAGGGGACGCGCTGCCCCGCCCGGGCCCGACGGGGCCTCAGGACGGAAGCGCTCGCAGGAGCCTCGCCCGCGAGCCGCAGACCCCTGGCCAGGCCGACCGCCACTCTGTCACGCTGCGCCGAGGCACGCGCAGCAGCACAGCAGCAGAACTCATCATCAGTATCATCATCAGTACCATCATCACTATCATCATCATCATCATCATCCTCCTCCTCCTCCTCATCATCATCCTCATCATCATCATCCTCATCATCAGCATCATCATCAGCAGCATCATCATCATCGTCGTCGTCATCATCGTCGTCATCATCATGATCATCAATATCACCATCATCACCATCACCGTCATCATCATCATCGCCATCGACAACATCATCATCATCATCAGCAGCAGCACAATCAGCAACATCACCATCATCATCAACAGCATCAGCATCAGCATCAGCATCAACAACATCAACATCAGCATCAGCATCAGCATCAGCATCAGCATCAGCATCAGCATCAGCATCAGCATCATCATCATCATCATCATCATCAGCAGCATCAGCATCATCATCATCATCAGCATCGCCATCATCATCACCCACATCAAATATGTTGCCCAAATCGCCATGGAAGGCCAACCGACGCCAAGCCAGATCCACCTCCCTCCCCTCCCACGCTTCCCCCTCACGCTCCCAGCCTGCCGCTCTCCCCTCCCCATGCCTCCCGCCCCCCACCTCCCGCCCCTCTCCTGCACCCTCCCCAGCCCTCCCCCCCCCGCTCCCACCTACCCCTTTGGTACATCCCCCCTGCTCCCAACGTGCACACTCGTTTTTTGCCTCGTGTAGGGAAAAAATAAAATGGAAAAAACAGTTGTTTGCCTCGTGTAGGGACCCGGAGCCACGTGCGTCTACGGCTGCAGCTTGCCCGCGATCGGCTTGATTCAACCGAACCCCCCCCTCTCTCGGGGGCGCGCAAACGTGGATTAGCGATCCATGGGTTTGGCGCGCGGTCGCCAAATCCATGGGTCGGGGGAGGCGCCCTCTCCAAAATGCGACCGGTGCCGCCTCGTTCGGCGGCGGAAAGCCGCGATTTCCCATGGAGACGGGACCCGGCGCGAATCCACGCCCCCTTGGTCCATGTCTGCGATCGCCCGACTCTCTCACATTTCCCCCCTTTGTACCCTCCCCCACCTGAGGTCGGGGACCTGAAGGTCGCGGTAGAGGAAAAGGCCGGCATCGCGCCCGGGCAGCAGGAGTGCTCCCTTCCCCCCACGCGTCGGGCCAGGGCCAGACAACATGGTTCGGCCACGCGCAGAAGGGGGGTAATTAGGGGGAGGGGGGGAGGGCTCCCTGGAGGCACGCCTGCCAATGAGAAGGCGCGGGCCTTCTCTATCGATGCGAGGCTGGCGCTTTCTCGGAAGCAGCCTCCCGCTATAGAGGAGCCCCCCCCTCCCCCATAATGGAGGATGACGATTGATAAATGACCGGGGGTCGTGTTCACGCGGCGGCGCCCGGGATGAAGATTAGAAAAAACCGGCCGCGGGCTGGAAAACTATTTCTTGTATCGTTCTCCTCCAGTCAGAAAATTATGCAGAAATGGCAGAAAACTATGTTTGTGAATCGTTCCCTCCCATGTTTCATGAATCGTCATCCCGCATTACCCCGCTGGTGCGCGCCGCCAGGCGATGCTTCCCCAGGCCGCGCTGCGGACGGAGTCTCGGGCCGGGCGAAAGGGGGGGATTGGGAAAGGGGGGGTCACGAAATTTGCTGCATGCAGCTGGTTTCGGCCTCACCGAGGGGCCCATTCCTCCATACGTGGGCACCTCCCGGCGCCGGGAGGCGCCAGGAAAATCGGCTACGTGAGCGGATTCTCAAACCCCGCCTTTGCTATCCCCCTCTTTCGCCCGACCCCAGACCCCCGACGTCATGAATTTTTCATGACGTCGACCCCCACAGGTCCAGACCCATTCCCCGGGACCGGTTTTTCGTCCTGAGTCGTTTTTTGACGGTCCTTAGAGCCGGTAACAGCCCCCAAAGGCCGACAATCATGAAAAACCTCGCGTCGTGATTTTTTCATAACTCGAGGGGTTCTGGGACCCGAGAGTCGCGGCAACGACAGCCGGGGCGGAGCAGCCCAGACGTCCCGGTGCCGCGGCAGAGGCCCCGGCGGGCGTGCCCCCCTCCCGGCCTCGGCCCCCCTGGGGGGGAGGGGCCGCTCTCGGGCCGTCGAGGGGCGGGGCCCGATGCGCAAGGCTGGTCCGGGGGAGGGGCCCGTGGTCGAGAGCGAGGTGGGGCGGAGGGGAGGGGAGGGGGGGGAGGGGAGGGGAGGGAGGGGGGGAGGGGAGGGGAGGGGAGGGAGGGGGGGGGAGGGAGGGGAGGGAGGGAGGGGAAGGGAGGGAGGGGGAGGGGGGAGGGGGGAGGGGAGGGGAGGGGGGAGGGGAGGGGGGGGGGAGGGGGGGGAGGGGAGGGGAGGGGAGGGGAGGGGGGAGGGGGGGGGAGGGGAGGGGAGGGACAGTAGATGGACAATAGATTCGAACCACCCTCACACATTCGAGGGAAATTCTAAATCACCCCCGCGCCCCCGACATCAATGCTGATGTCCGTAGAGGCGGTGCTGTGGGGTTCGAATAGTTCGGTCCACTCACGCCCCCCCCCGTCGCCACGCCATCAATATTAATTTCGGGGGGTCGGGGGGGCATCTTGGGCCACAGGGTTCGAATGTAATGTCCATGCGCGGGAGGGATCCACAACATGTGGCTGCTACTCCGCGGCAAGTATTCTCCTCGGCTCGCCACTGCCAGCGGAGGGGCCGCCTCCAAGTATGGGAGCGTGCGAGTGGCTTGCCGGGTCCAGCAGTCACGTCAGGAGTCCCAGAGGTTTGGGCAAAGCGGCGGTCTAGGAGAAAGGTGTCAGAGAGGCAGCGGAGAGGGAGAGGGGAGAGGAGAACCCTGCTGTGCCAGGCACCGAACGGGGCAAGATTCATCTCACTGACCGTGGAGCTCCGCCACAGGCGGACCATGCGACACGTGACCTGGACAGAAGGCTGCACTGGGAACGAGTTCACCAAGGCTCGGAGGAGGTTGGCCAGGTAGCCTGACAGGTGGTACTCAAGCACGAGCTCCAGAAGTCTGGGCGTCACTACTTCCACAGAGCTGCAATGCACTCCCCCGTGCCAGAATGCTCATGCAAGGCTCCCCAAGTTTGGTAAATAGCTTGGGGTGGTCGGCCCGCCCATGAAACAGGATTCAAAATCCCCTTTCCCCGCGACCGGTTGTTCGGATTCTTCTAGTTCAGCACAATTGACTGGCCTCTCACCACCCCTACGTCGACATCCACCCATGAGTGTGTGGCGACTGTGTCTGGGCTGGCCCCATCCAATCCTGCCCAGGGTGACAGCTTCATGGGCAATGCCAGCTTCGTGAACCCAGACTGCGCACTGGGGACAGAAGGTACGGTCGAGAATAAGCACGTGATCCACGTAGCGCAACCAGTTAACGCCCTGCCCTGAAGGTAGCACTTCATTTTGAACTCTGGCTCCGAATGAATGTGAACACAAGGTGTAAGCTTGTAACCTTGCCTCCGGATTCTATGCGTACATATAGTCCACGTTGGTGCGCCACCACAAACTCGAGTGACCTCGGCGGCTGGCCCTGGTCGTACACTCGAGTCCGCTGCCAACGTCAGTGGTCGACGTGCCAGGCTTGGAATCGCATCGCGAGGCGACATAGGAACAAGCAGGTAGCACACTCGCCAGGGAAGCGGCATCGAATCCATGCCTGCCGCAATCACGATGATGCGGCTGTTCAGGCAGACCCCGCAACGCCAGCACGATGGCGAAGGAGCCCCGAGACCTGCGGCCAGATGATCATCAAAGGCTGCGCGAAGTTCCGAAATATTGAACAGCTCTTCGTGCCCCGTGCGTACTACAAGTATCCACGCGCTGTTCGGTGAATCGCCCACCAGCCATCCTGAAAAGGTTGTCATGAACCATTCAGGGGTGCGTAAACAGCTGTAGCCATCCCTGTTGCAGATATGGCGGCCGATATCTGGCCGACATTTGTTTTTGACCGAAGGAAATACAGAAGGCGGGCGGCCTCCATTTGCGGAAACAGATTCTTCTAAGCCATTGTGGAGGTCCCAGCTGACCCCTGGCCCTCATGAAAGCAACGACCAAGTCCACCCGACAGCTTGGCGCAAAGGCTGATGGGGCTCGCACCCAGCAGGACAAGGCTGCTAGGCCATGTCAGAAGCCTCTCGGTCCAGACAGCGCACACCGTGGCGGAAATATTGCGAGGAAGCAAAGGGGAGAGGGAGGAGGAGGAGGAGGAGGAGGAGGACGACGAGAAGAAGGACGACGAGGACGAGAACGCGGACGAGGACGTGGAGGAGACGATGGAGTTTGAGGGAACGGAAGAGAGAGGCGGAGGAGGAGGAGGAGGAGGAGGAGGAGGAGGAGGAAGAGGTGGAGACGGGGAAGGAGAATGAGAGGATAAGGAGGAGGAGGGGGAGGAGGAGGAGGAAGTGGAGGAGGAGGAAGAGGAGGCGGAGAAGGAGGAGGGGGAGGATGAGCAGCATTACCCAAGTTGTACCCAATCTCTTTTCCACGCGAAGCAACTATTCATATGGTCGCTCCATACACAAAAACTCATTGCGAAATATATTTCAGTTTGAAACGTGTCGCCAAACAATGTCGGGCCACGCACGTGGCACACCTGTGCTATTCAGGTCGCAAAAAGGACGACGACGACAAGCACGACAAGTAAAACAGAACGGGGGACACAAGTGGATGATGCGGAGAAGGAGGATGGGAGAGGAGGACAAGGAGGATGGAGACGGAAGGTGAAGCAATACTGGTGAGAGTGACAGCGCCATGCGCTAAATCTGTTCGGTTCACATTCGCTGCTGCTGTGGGCGACAGGCACCTGAGGAGGGGGGAAGTGGGCCACCGAGGTCAGCGCCCTGCGCTACTGGACGCTCTTGCGCTATGCGCTCTGTGACGCGACAGCGCCGCGCGCTAAATGATGGGACGACGCCGCGCGCCATGTGGGCACGCGCCATGTGAGCGCCCTGAACTCGGCGGTGCCTCCCAGGAGCCGACGAAAGAACGTGGCGACTTTTGCGCAATTCGCAGCCCCCAAGGGAGCCGCGAGGTCTCAAATGATTTGTGTTCCCTTGCGCCTCGGCGTTGCTCCCTGGAGCCCTCGAAAGAGAGTGGCGACAGTCACGCAATCCGCAGCCCCCGAGGGAGCCGCGATGTCTCAAAATGATCCGCGTGGCTCTGCACTCCGCCGTACCTCCCAGAGGCCTTCGACGGTTGCCACCGTTGCGCAGGTCGCAACCCCCCAAGGGAGCCGCGAGGTCTCGTTGCGATGCGCGTTGCCCTGCACCCCGCCGTGCCTGCCGGGAGCCCGCAAAAGTGGCGACAATTGCGCAGTTCGTAGCCCCCGAGGGAGCCGCGAGGTCTCGAATGACCCGCGCTGCCCTGCACCCCGCCGGGCACCCCAGGAGCCAGCAAACGTGTCGACGGTTATGCACGTCGCAGAGGGAGCCGCGAGTTTTACGCGCGTCGCCTTGCATCCCAACCGCGCCTTCAGGAGCCCACGAGAGTGGCAACCGTTGCGCAGTTCGCAGTCCCCGACGAAAACGCGTTCCGCGTTGCCCTGCACACCACCGTGCCTCCCAGGACCGGTAGGACAAAAGGCGACTGTTGCACAGGTCGTAGACCGAGAGCCGCGAGGTCTCGAAGTGATGCGCGTTGCCTTGCATTCCACCGTGGCTCCCACCAGCCCACGAAACTGGCGACAGTTGCGCAACTCGCACCCCCCAGGGAGAACCGCGAGGTCTCAAATTGACCCGCGCTGCCCTGCTCCCCAACGTGCCTCCGAGGGCCCCACGAAAGTGGTGACAGTTGGGCAAATCGCAGCCACCCAGGGGGCCACGAGGTCTCAAATGATTCGCACCCCCCGCGGAATTAGGCAGACCAGGAGGTGGGAGGCAGGAGGCAAACGGAGAAGGTGTGGCAGGAGGAGGGGGAGAAAAAGGAGGGAGGGAGGGAGGGAGGAAAAGAGACGAGAAGAGGAGGATGTCGCGACCGCTGTATTCTATTCCCCGAAACAGCGCTTGTACTTAGAGGTTCCTGTTTATGGTCTAAGGAAGTGGGCCTGGGTGTTGGTATGGCGGCTATGTTATCGCCGTCGCCGCCTCGTTGCCGCCAGGTCGCCGCCCGTCGTCTGGGCCATGGTGTCGGCGCGGCGAGTCCGCGGTCGCCGTCGCCGCCCCGTCGTCGCCGAGACTGCACCACTATATTTAGTATTCTCAACGACTGAGGATGCACCTCACCCCCCCCGCGGAGGTAACGCATCTCCTTTGCGTATTACGATGTACAGCTGATTCTGCCCCATCACGCATCCTCACTATGAATCAATACATAACACCCCGCAGTTGCGGATAACAGTGAGGGGGCGGCGGGGTCGTCGGAAGACTGCGGGGCTCTGAAGAAGCCCGCCGCAGACGCCAGTTTTTTACCGAATGATGCAGGGAGCCCGCCGCAGGCGCCGCATTTTTCGTCAAAGCAAGTGGGTGGGTCGCGAGTGGGTCGCGGGTGGGTCGCGGGTGGATCGCGGGTGGGTGGCGGGTGGGTCGCGGGTGAGTTGCGGGTGGGTCGCGTGGTGGGTCGCGGGTGGGTCGCGGGTGGGTCGCGGGTGGGTCGCAGGTGGGTTGCGGATGGGTCGCAGGCTGGGGTGCGGAAGGGACGGTTACAACAAACAACAAACAACAGCAGCAGCAAAAACAATCCGCATCGCGGAATCCCACTTGACCCACACAACCAGGGACAGTGAATGACCGTTCGGCCCCCTCCCTCATCCTCTGGAATGGAATACTATTCGCGCATTCGTTCATCAACAACCATCTGTTTAGACAAATCCCGTGCAACTAACGGGACGAAGTGCATACGCGCGCGTCGTCGCGCGCGCATGCCGACATCCATCAGAAAAAAAAAAAAACATTGGTGCCGCAAGGATTTCAAAATCGAGTGTTCCGAACACAAATAAAGCACATGGTTTCGCAACAATAATGTTCAAACAAACTTGCGCTCGCGTTCTTGAATCCTGATGCAAACCACAGGTTGTCAAGATGTTCATAGAATGTTACCAAACGCGCCTCTCGCGCGCGCATGCCGACATCGTTCGAACGCCCCTTGTGCGCGTGCCGTCGCAAGAATCCTTGCAACAGACGGGACAAAGTGCACACGCGCGCGTCGTCGCGCGCGCATACCAAAATCCTGCGCGTGCTGGAGAGGCACAGTCCGTATCAAATAATATCATGCGGGCCACTTGCGAATCGGCCGTTCGCGCTTGTCGAACTTCTTCCAAAACCTTCATCGCCGACGCGAGGACGACGTCATCGTCGCCGGCGTTATCAGCATCGGAGCCGGCACTGGCCTTTCCGTCGCCGCTGGCATCATCGACAGCAGCACCGCTACCATCATCGTCGCGTCTACGCTGTCGACGTTGCCATGATTCCGCGCCCGCCCAACTCGCCGACTCGCACTGAAGTGCCCGCTGGGCCCAACGGGTCAGCGCCACCGCGGCCGCGTCGGTCGTGCCAAACTAGCTGACCGCTGCGCGCGCGAGCATGCGCGAGCGAGCGCGGCCGCAGGGATGACCAGCCCAGATCAAGCACTCATCGCAATCGCCGCCCCATGCAAACCAGCCTGCGGGCGGGCGATGGGATGATGGCGCGAGCAGTGGGTTTGCCAATTCATTGCGAACAGAAATGAATGGCACCACGCAGACTGCGCTGCATAGATCCTCGTTTCTGAAAAGAGGATCGACTACCCCCCCGGGTTTATCGGTCCACCCTTTTCGCATTGCAATGTACGTATGATTCTGCCCTATCGCCTATCCTAAAAATGAGTTCAGACCATCCCACCCGATTCGGTATCGACCCCCCCGCCATCCTCTGCAACAAATTCTGGGTGCGCGTGTGACTCCACTCCGCTTGACATCACAGGAGCCAACAACAATGGCGACCGTTGCGGAGGGAGGAGGACCGGAGACCACAGTGCCCCATTCAAAACGAGAACCCAACACACAGGAGGGTTGGAGAAAAAGGAAAGGAGGGAGGGTGAGGATGATGATGATGGTGATGATGATGAGGAGGAGGAGGAGGAGGAGGAGGAGGAGGAAGAGTTGGAGGAGAAGGAGGAGGACGACGAGGGGGGAAACATGGGAGAAGATGGATCCTCCTGTCCCCCTGCCTCCGTTTCCTATGTGTTCCTTATCAGTTTTCTCCTCCCCTTCCTGCTCCTCCTCCCACCTCCTCCTCCGCCTTCTCCTTCTCCTTTTCCTCCTCCACCACCTCACCCACTCCCTCCTGCCATCGGCGGAGGCCAACGGGAGGTCCACCGAGGCCTTCGGAACTGGAGCGTGCCTGCCTCGGGTGGGGTGCCCATATTCCCGGATGGCCGGAAGCCATCAGTCTGGATTCGTTCGCAGCCCCCATCGACAGGGAGCGAGCAGAGGTGAGGGAACCGCCCGGTGCTGTGCAGGGCTCGAGCCAGACGGTGTGGTGGCTATTTCGTCGACAGTTTTCTTTTTGATCTCGGTTCGCAGCAAAGGCAGAACGAAGACATTATGAAGACAGAACGAAGGAACACGACAATAAAACGAAAAAGAAAAAGAAAAGCACTGTTTAGCTCGAGCCCTGGTGCTGTGAGTGGCGATTGCCAGTTCCTGGCCGCCACTTTCGAGTGGCAGGGGTGCGTGCGAGGGCGAGGAGGCGCGCCTGGTCTTTGGGGCAGGAGGCCGTCGGCAGGGCAGGGCAGAGGTGCGCGCGGAGGGCGGGCGAGGCTTGGACGCTTCGAAGGAGCTGCCTGCACGACCACAGCGTCGGAGTCAGAATCCTCCTGGCGCTGGGGTGTGCGGCGACGGCTGCGGAGGCGCGGGTGCTCTACGGCCGGGTGGCGAGCGCCTGACAGTATTACATCAGACGTCCTCTGTGCACTTGCAGTGTGTTGCGCGCTTCGGCAGTGTCTTAGCGCGTCAGCACCAGAAGGCAGGTGCGGCGTGCGTGCCGAAGCGCCTGGGCTGCTACGGAGTGGCCGGAGGACGCGGGGCATTCGGCCACAACGGCAGGTCCGTCCAGTCGCACGCGTCACCGTCACTATCTTGCGCGCAGATCGCTGCTGGGCGTCCCACGTTGGACGGAGACTTGTGTGTGTGTGTTTGTGTTTGTGCGTGTGTCTTTGTGTCTGTGCGCGTGTGTGCGTGTGTATACGTATGTGTATGTGTATATGTATGTGTATGTGTATGTGTGCGTGCGTGCGTGTCGTGCGCGTGCGCGTGCGCGTGCGCGTGTGCGTGTGCGTGTGCGTGTGCGTGTGCGCGTGCGCGTGCGCGTGCGCGTGTGCGTGCGCGTGTGCGTGTGCGTGTGTGCGTGCGCGTGCGCGTGCGCGTGCGCGTGCGCGTGCGCGTGAGCCGCAGGCCGCAGGCCGCAGGCCACAGGCCGCAAGCCGCAAGCGTGCGCGCGTGCGCGCGTGCGCGTGTGCGCGTGTGCGTGTGTGCGCATGTGCGCGTGTGCGCGGGTGCGCGGGTGCGCGTGTGCACATGTGCGCGTGTGTGCGCGTGTGCGCGTGTGTGCGCGTGGGCGCGTGTGCGCGTGTGTGCGCGCGTGCGCGTGTGAGCGTGTGTGCGCGTGTGCGCGTGTGTGCGCGTGTGCGCGTGTGTGCGCGTGTGCGCGTGTGCGCGTGTGCGCGTGTGTGCACATGTGCGCGTGTGCGCGTGTGCGGGTGTGCGCGCGTGCGCGTGTGCGCGTGTGCGCGTGGGCGCGTGTGCGCGTGCGCGCGTGTGCGCGTGTGCGCGTGCGCGCGTGTGCGCGTGTGCGCGGGTGCGCGGGTACGCGGGTGCGCGTGTGCGCGGGTGCGCGGGTGCGCGTGTGCGCGTGTGCGCGGGTGCGCGGTTGCGCGTGTGCGCGTGTGCGCGTGTGCGCATGTGCGCGCGTGCGCGTGTGCGCGCGTGTGCGCGTGCGCGCGTGCGCGTGTGCGCGTGTGCGCGCGTGCGCGCGTGCGCGCGTGCTCGCGTGCACGCGTGAGCGTGTGAGGGATCGAACAGCACTAGTCGAGGCAGCCTGGCTGAACGCAGGCGGGGCTGAGGGGCAACCCGCTGCGCCCAGGCCTTGCCCAGACCCGCTCCCTCGCTTGGGTCGCACATGGGAACAGGAGGGAGGAAGGCAGGGAGACAGGGCGGGAGGTATGGAGGAAGCGAAGTGTGCAGGAATGGCAGCAGGTGGCGACGTCGGCCGAGGGCACGTCCTCGGGCGTGCGTCACCCACGTCACCCGATTGGCCGCGAAGAGGATCGCGCGTCGCGCGTCGCGGCTCGGGTTGGCGAGGCGCCCTTCTCCAGTGGGTCAGCGCGGGGGTCGCACAGATGGCCGCGCATCGCGGGGCGCGATGCGCGAAGCTAGGTGACCTGAGCAGCCTTGGCCCGCAGTAGAGCCGCGAAGGGGTGAGGCTGTTTACGTGCTTTGTGGTTGGGCCACTCGGCGCGTCCATCTCCGAAGGCCCTGCTGGGCGCCAGGCTTTGTGATCTAAGCACGCTCATGTTTGTTCATGGTTCCCTTCCAGAGCCCCGTGGATTGCCCCATGCACGGTGAGGCACCCCAGGACCTCATCCCCTTCATTTTCGTCTTGCCACCGTCAGCTGCTTCTAAGCGCGACTGGAAACTACAAATGGTAGTATGCACCTTGTCTATGGCAATGGTTACCTCCTCCGGCAGCTTCGGTATCGATCCGTCTCCTCCTGCTTCATCCCTTTCTCATCCTCCTTTTTCCTCTCCTCTCTTCCTATTTCTCGCCTTGTTCGCCTTCAGCGCCTTCTGGTGGGCAATGAGCCGCTGAGCACGAAGATGCCGGACCTCAGGGCGACCTTGCGTGGCAAGGCCATTGCCGCCGCTTCTGTCGGTGTTCCGCGCGAAGTGGCACACATTATTTAATCGCTTTGCTCATTCCTCCGGCCCATATTGCGCACCGCGGTCGACTGGCCAAGTGGGCGTCGGCAGTGCGCCTCTTGGGGGTTTCTTGAGGGCCTCGTCGGGGTCTCTTGGGGCCTCTCGGAGGCATCTTGGGGGCCTCTTGGGGCCTCTCGGGGGCCTCTTGGGGGCTTTTTGGGGGGCCTCCATGGGACCTCTCTGCGCGTAGAGCTCGAAATGTCCACTCGGGTCCCCGGTTTAGGCCCGCTCGTGGAGCCGTCTTGGGAGCTTCTTCGGCCATCTTCGAGGCCTCTGCGGCTTTCTTCGGGCCCTCTGGGGCCGTTCTGGCCGCTCTTGGAGGCCTCTTGGGCTGTGCTTGGGCGATCCTGGAAGCCTCTTGGGCCGTCTTGGAGCGCTAGTAAGCCCCAAGGCGAGAACGCCAAAAACCTTCAAAAACTGTAGCCAAATCATCAGTTTCTGCCTAATTATGTGGGCCTATTGGATCGCTCTTGGGCCGTGCTGGGCCATATTGAGCTCTCGCTGGGACCTGGCCAGGACATGTCCGGGACCTGCCCGGGACCTTGCCGGGACCGGCCGGTCGACTTGCCGGGACCTTGCCGGGATGTGCTGCTGGGACCTTGCTGTAGGACTTGCCGGGACTTTGCCGGGGTACTTATCGTCTGGGGACCCCCAGGGGCGGCCCCACGCGCGCGAGCTAGAGTATTGTTAGCCAGTCGCCAGAGCTCTTAGCACGCCCTCGGCCCGTTGGGCCGGCGAATGTACTCGAGGGGCGCCACGTTGCGCTGCTTGCTGGCTCATCCGCAGTGCTACACGGCAAGGTGGTCAGGCCATCCAGAGCCACACCGGCTGCCCAGGTTGTTGGCGCGGGGCCTGGCGTGGGTTGGCAGCTGGTCTCGGCTGGACTCGAGAGGTTTGTTTCGTTTAGGAGGTGGGTTTCGGAGAGGAGCGTGAAAAGGCAGATCTCACGCGGCCCATGTCCTGAGTCGTTTAGCGACGAGCTTCTTTCGGCTACAGGGTCGCACGGTCGCAGATTGCAGCATCCGACTCGGCCTCAGGCGGCCACAGAGGTCTAGGCCTCCTGGATGGGGTGTATCGGCGATGCATCGGCGATGCGGCTCGATGTGGGGCCCAATTTTCTCCACGCCGACGCCGCCGATGCATCGCCGATGCATCGCCGATACATCGGCGATGCATTGGCGGTGCGGCGCGATACTTTGACTCCATCTACTCGGACCCCATCTAGGAGGCCTCTAAGAGGACTTCCAGGAGATTCGTATGGTGCTGAAGGCTGCTTTTCCGATATGGGACAGGACGAAAGCGGACGCAGGTCGTGTCACACATTTTGTCTGTGGTCGCAGATTCAGACAGGAAGCGGTCGGTATGCAGTCACCAGCGGCTGTCTCTTCCCGACGTGCGGCAGGTCTCAGAGTGCGATCGCTGGCACAGTGTTGAGGTACCTACGGTTGTAGGCAGCTCGCCTGATAGCAGCTGTTGTTATATGCTCGCGATTGTAGGTTTAAGTGGGTATGTCTTCTACAGGAGGAATATTCGAGAATGGTAGAAAATAGTCTGGGGACGATGTCCCGTGCTCTCTTGAATATTGTTAAGCATGTATTGTTTTTCATGCTTCTTCGAACATCCGCCTGTAGGAGCACATGCCCGACCTAATTGCAGGTTCACCCATAGCGCATCCGCAACCAGTCCCGCGCGGTCGCAGCCAGGTCGGACTTCGTGTCTGTTGTGGGTCCTGCCTATCACCTGAGACCCTCCGTTCCTTGACTGCGCGCCCTCGCCCATCCATGGGATGCTTTCCAGAGGCACGGACCGCGCGGGCGCCCCGGGGGCTTCCGACTCCCCGCCCCGTCCACCCCCCACCCCCCCATGCCGGTCCTTGAAAGTAGGTGTTTGGGAATATCCAGATCCCAATCTGCTTCAGGCGCCTTCCCTGTTTCAATGATCGAGCGATTTTCCCTCTTCCCTCCTCTTCAAGGGGCCATCGGAGACCCAATCTATTTTCAACGCCCTCCTACTTCAGGGGTCTACCCGCTTCTTCCGGCCGACGGGCCAGCCCCCCAAACACAACAAAAACACACATGTTTTCGGATTGTGGAGTCTGCGCCCGCCTCCCAAGCCCCACGTGGTCAAGATTTGAACAAAACCCAGCGCAGCGAGTCGGTAAAACCTCGTGCGCACACACACACACACACACATTGTATATATATATATATGTATGTATATATATACATATATGTATACATCGAAGACGCCTACGGCGAGTCTCCATCGCCCCCTGCCCTTTCGGAAGCGCCTATGTGGCCGAACGTTGAGGCCAGAGCCCGGCCAAGCTATCGGACCATGTGTTCCCCGAATCGGTTTGGAAAGCCTTCGGGGAACACGTGGGGGAGGACGCGGAAGAGGAAGAGAGTGAGGAATGGGCGTGTTCGGGGCCATCTTGAGGCCATCTGGGGCCGTCTTGGGTGCATCTTGAGGCCATCTTCGCTGTCTTGGAGGCCTTCTTGGCCGTCCTGGAGGCATCTTGGAGGCTATCTTGGCCGTCTTGGAGGCCTTCTTCGGCGTCTTCGGGGCCATCTTGGGCCGTCTTGGGCTCTTCTTCGGGCCCTCTTGGGGGCCTCTTGGGCTGTCACGGCGCCATCTTGGAGGCCTCTTGGGCGCTCTTGGGACGATGTTGGGGGCCTCTTGGGCCGTCTTGGGCCGTCGGAGAGTTGATAAGAAGAAAATGCCAACATCCTGCAAAAACCTAAAGAAAATCAATGATGTTTGTCTTGTCGGGCCTTCCTGGAGGACGTCTTGGAGGCCTCTTTCGTAGGCCATCTTGGAGCCATCTTGGGCCGTCTTGGAGACTTCTTGGACGAACTTGAAGGCATCTTGGAATCTCTCGGGCCGTCTTGGAAGCCATCTCGGACCATCTTTGGCGACTTGGACGCCATCTTGGAGGCTCTTGGAGGCCATCTCGGGCCAACGTGACCATCTTGAAGGCCATCTTGAGCCGTCTTGGAGAATTTGTTGCGGTCGTTGAGGTGGTTGCGGGGCCTTTCTGGGACCCCGGCGGGATCGGTCGAAGCCCTAGAGGGAGATGTTGTGGAAAAGAACCAAAACCAAAATCGAAAGGATCTAGCACGCCGGGCACCCCTGTGGCAAGCCAACAGGGGGCGGCGGAAATATAGCGGCTGATGGACGCACACAGCGCGGCCCGCGGGGTGAACAAGCAAAGTGCAGTCGCCGGCGTCAACTTTGAAATTGGGGAGTTGGGGGAGTCGCCACGTCGTGGGGAAAAGTTGCGTTTGATTTCGGGGAGGGATGCACATAGGTTGTGGGTCAGAAGCTTCTTGGGTGCAGATTCGGATACATTGGGATGCTTCTCGGTGGCCTCCTTGAAGGGGTCTTGGGGCTCGTGGGAGCTCATTGGAGGCAGCTTGGGACCTCTTCGGATGCCTTTCGGGGGCCTCTTGGAAGGCTCTTGGGCATTTCTGCGGGTCTTCTTGGGGGCCTTCGTGGGCCTCGTGGGGGCCTCTTGGAGGCATCTTTCTGAAGGCCATCTTGGAGCGGAGGGTTCGAAAGGTCAGATCGGGCTCTCCCTCCCGAGCCTCTCTTAGAACCGTCTTGGGCCATCTTAGGCCGTCTTGGTGGCCTGCTGGGACGATTTTGAGGGTCTCTTGGGCCACCTTGGGCGCTATTGAGGCCGAAATCGCGATTATGCTAAAATCATTCAGAGGCCGAAGGGATTTGGAAGATTTGGACATCATGGGGGTCCTCTTGAGATCCTCTAGAGGCGTCTTGGAGCCTCCTTCGGCTTTCATCAGGCCATCTTGGGCGTCCTGGAGCCTCGTCAGCCCCTGTTGGCCCGTCTTGGGGCCCCCTGGCCCACGGGAACATCTTGCGAGAGAGGCGCACGAGAACACGCGACACCCCCGGCAATTTGTGGCTCGGGCTTGTCTAATGCACATTATTTGCGAATGAGGGGTCGCAGGGCCTGAGGATTTTCCAGCTCGTTCCTCGACGCGCGGTGGCAGATCAATATGGTGTACGGCATATTGCATACCATCTATGCTTATCCCGCAAGGTTCACTCTCTCTCTCTCCCTCTCTATATAGTATTTTGAGGGTGTTCTGATGTTTGCCGGAGGCTGCAAAATTCCTCAAACCCTTTTGACACACAACCAAATTGAATCACATTGGTTCTGGTACTCGCAAGCAGAAATCCAACATACCCGAATGGAAATCAAGGGTTTGGCGCCCCGACACTTCGCAAGCCCAGTAATTTCACAGGGACCGTTGCTCCCTCGCGTCTCTTTCTCTCTCTCTCTCTCTCGCTGCCCCTCTGCCTCATCGGAAGACGAGGAGGAGGAGGAGGAGGAGAAGGAGGAGATGATGATGAGGAGCAGGAGGGGAGGAGGAGGAAGAGGAGGAGGAGGAGGAGGAGGAGGAGGAGGAGTATGAGGAGGAGGAGGAGGAGGAGGAGTTGAGAGGAGGAGGAGAGGGAGGAGGAGGAGGAGGCGGAGGAGGAGGAGAGGGAGGAGGAGGAGGAGAAGAATTTGGGAGCATTCGAGAACGCGACGATGTCGAGTGCCCCGCCGGCGAGGCCGAGCGCGCCGCGCCCTGTCTCCAGCTCTGGCCCGCCAGCCTCTCGCGCAGCTTCTCTCTCAGGAGGGGAAAAAACACACAGACACAATGAACCAATCGTCGATTCCCATGAAAATATAGGAAAATGTGGTAAGTGGGAGGGAAGACAAAAGTCCCGAAACGATTGAAAGAAATATTGGGAACATGTTTTCCCATTTTTTGTGTGTCCTGGGGCCCCTTCACTCTCACGCACCGGGCGGCGGGAGAAGATTGGCGGGGCCCGGGCAGGCGGGCACGGTCGAACTTCTTCCCGGGAGTTCCCCGCGGCGGCCACATCGCTTCGAGACAACGGTGGGGTCCAGCCTCGTG